TTTTGCTTGGAGAGAAAATTTATTCATGTATTCATTCATTCATAGTCTTTCTCTCCGTCTCCCTGCCTGCCTGTTAGTGTTGGATAAATCGGTGTGTTTGCGTGTGGGCCGTTCCTCATTCTGAACATGTGTGGCAGCTGTCCTGTCACACAGCGCTCAGAGCCAGGGCTGCGGAGGGACTGCCGAAGTTTGGCTTCTTTACTCCCATGGGACGTGTGAGGCTGGCCAAGTTATGTGCATGGATTAGTCAATTAGCTTATCTTCAGCGTTGGGGTCATGCTATCACTAGACTTTCAGGGCTTGTGTTGAGGGTTAAATGTGGGTGAAGCATTTCCCACAATATCTGCCGTATTTTAAGAGCTTAAACACTGGCTGCTATTTTTTGTTGCATAGACTACAGAACTAACCTGGAAAAAATAATACACATCTCCAACAGGAGAGTTTCAACTTCGGATTAAACAAGGGTACTCTGCCTTTTACAAATAGTAAATGACACATCCGTGAGAGGAATGGTAAAGGGAAAATGGAATCCCACGTCCTTTGTGGAGTGTGTTAGTATAAAATGGCATTCATCGAAAAGAGAAGCCAGTTATACCCCTTAAACTTCATGCTGTGGAAGGGTAATGGTGATTTCTTTTACTTTTTCTTTCTTTTCTTTTTGAGACAGAGTCTCTCTCTGTTACCCCAGCTAGAGTGCAGTGGTGTCATCATAGATCACAGCAACCTCAAACTCCTGGACTCGAGCAATCCTCCTGCCTCAGCCTCCTGAGTAGCTGGGACTACAGACATGCGCCACCAAACCCGGCTGACTTTTCTATTTTTTGTAGAGACAGCACCTTACTCTTACTCAGGCCAGTCTTGAACTCTTGATCTCAAGCGATCCTCCCACCTCGACCTCCCAGAGTGTTAGGATTACAGGTGCGAGCCACTGAGCCCAACCATGATTTCTTAAATTTCTTTCCTCGGTTATTCCACTAGCATAGCGTCCTGCGACTCGACAGGTGCTGATCGTGGTACGTCAAGTACAGTCATTGCGTGGCAGAGGGGAGGCAGCCACCGAAGGCAGATCTCTTGTTTTGTCACGGTTAATGTCTGAGACTTGTTACATTTCCTGCTTTACTGTGGCTTTTGATAAGCGGTGGGTGTGACAGTAATATATGGGAGTGTAGCGTGTACAGTACTGAGTAATCGTCCTGGCAGAACAGCTCCGCAGGGAAGGTGCTATGTCTCGCCAAACCCAATTAAGGAAACCAGCCCGGGTTCTTCTTGGGAGCCAAGCAGCTGTTTCGCAAGCTCTGCTCCTGTAAGCGCTGTGGGAATAGCTCCCCGAGTGGTGATTACCTCTGTTCCTTAGTCACCAGAGTTGCTTCCCTCAATTTCCAAATTGCAGAAAGTTGCAAACCTCTCAAAGGACTTTTAGTTTGCTTGTGCAAAGGCTAGAAAGGACGGTTCCCACAGGTGTAAAAGAGGCACCTTCGCAGGTAGGAGCCTGAAGTAATGTGAAACTTAGTGTTAAGAGCAGACCTGGGCTTATGATGGGCCAGACTCATACCTTGATGAGTTCCGGGAAGCACGGAGTGTTAAATAAAAAGCTTAGAAGTTCACTTGATTTGCCTTTCTATAAATGAAGGAGAATTTTTGTATAAAGGCATCTTTGAGCCGAGGGAAAAATGTTTTTATAGTTTAGTCAGTGTATGGCTCCTTCCAGAGCAGGAGTTCAGCAAGTGATTAATGTAGAAAAATTCTGCTAAAACTGGAAAAATCTGTCTGAGCCAAAGAAGGTCCTTTCCAATCCTGGAGAAACTGGCATAATTTCTTCTAGATCAGTTTCCAACTTAATATTTGTCTAATTTTTTGTGTATGTGTTAAGTAGCACCTTTAAAGACTTATTTGTAAGCTGTATTCCCCCCCCCAATAAGGTACATATTGCAGCTTTAGAATTCTGTGTAGGGAGATGTGATTCGTAATTAGTGGATTCATGTACAGCATATTTTAGATGCTTTCAAGTTTCAAACTTGTACAACTAAATTTAAAGGCTGAAAAACTTCACAAAACCTATGCCATAAAGAGAAGTTAAACTCTAAGCTAATCGATAGCTCTGTCTCTGGTGGGATTGGCAGTCTTGCTGTCTGAGAAAGCAGGGTGATGAATCGAGCTAAAACCTTCCTCTTCAGTGGGTTGTGGGGGCCAGCAGCCGCCAGGCCTGTGTGGCTAATTTACTGTCTGTTTACAAGCCTCAAGATGCAGGGTCAGCTGTTTCGTGTTCTCGTGCTGGTTAGATGTGCAAAGAGGCCTTGCCTCAATTAAGATGGTAGCAATCAACTTTTATTTTCAAATATTTATCCATTTTATTGGGGTGAGGGGTATAGAGGAAACTTGTATTTAGGTTTGATATGAGGGAGACAAAGAGGGTCCTTATGGTGAAGAAATACTAGGTATTAGGCGACGCTGAGACACTAGTCCCATTTAGGTTTGTGAACCGGTTGACAGCCTATGAACTAGGTATACTGGGCTATTTCTTGACTCCTACTGGGTGTGTGACAAGAGAGAGTGTTTTTCCTAGGACCGTGGTTCCAGCACTATGATTTCCGTGCTTTTTTTTCCCATCGCTAACTATAATTTTGAGGGTTGACGATGGCCTTAGATCATCCAGCCCAAATACATGCTCTCTTGTGTGAATAAATTGTTCCATTTTATAGTTAAAGACATTGTGGCCCAGAGAATGACGTGGCTAAGATGTAGTGGCAGAACCCAGACTGGAACTGAACTCTCCAGAATCCCAGTTTAGAATGCTTAGGGTTGTACTGTTTTCCCAACCTTGCCCTAGCTGGCCCCCTCCGCTAAATCTCCTGAAACTTACGGCTTGTAGGTCCCACCCACCAGCAGAGGCGTAGCACGCGCTAACCTTCCTCCCGTCCCATAACGCAGCTCCGACCAGTACGCCTCATTAACCGTCTGCGAGATGGACTAGACTCGGTGTCGGGTTTTGGGGATCCGGTGCTGAGGAGCGTTCGGTCTATAAAGGAAGAGAGATGCTGACACTAATTGTTACCCAGTATGAACTGATGCATTCAGCAATGAATGTATTTACAGGTCTAGGAGCTTTTCAGAGGAGCACAAAATGAAGTGTGTGTGTGTGTGTGTGTGTGTGTGTGTGTGTTTGTGTGTGTATGAGACGGTTGCTTGAGGATGGTTTAAAGGATGGAGGGGCGTTTGCCAGCCAGGTGAGAGGCGAGGGAGGGGGACTTCTAGCTGAAGAGATTTGGGAAACTGAAAGGACTCAGTCCATTGGAAATTCAGGGTTGGAGTTGGCCGTGGCATACTGGTAAATTGCAGAAATCAAGAGGTTGTATTCACATCGTTCACCCTCTCCAGCCTGTTTCAGATTGGAAAGAGGTTGTTGAAAGTTCTTTAGAGATCCTCTGTTTTCCTTTAGGTTAAAGAATGTTAGATGCCTTTAATATGGTGGCGGGTGTGACGCCGTAGAGGTCATGACTGGTGCGGACTGTCAGGTGCTGGAGGCTCGGTGGCTTAGGTGCGCTCAAGTGGTAAGGTGCAGGAGGAACGCCTTGGTTCAATTCAGAAATATAAAGGCAGCAGGCCCTGCCTGGAGTCTTCCTGCCCTTTGTGCAAGATGCCACTGGGGTGAAGGTGTGGATGCGGCTTTGCATGTTCAGCTTCTGGATACCACACAGAACTGCCTTTCAATTTTCATGGCCTTGGAGGAAGCAGATAATGAATGATAGGAAACAGCTGCTTCTAACGCGGCAGGCAGAAATGCATCCTCATGGAGCAGATTGGTAATCACAAGAATATTAATGGAAAATCCTCTCTGATTAAACATTTGGGAGCTATGGAATGTGATTTGTTTTCATATATTTACCCCTCCCCCCATTGTCTTTCTGTGGCCTGAAGATTTTATTTTTATTTGTTGAATAATATGGAAATACCTTCTTATAAAAATTTAAATAATGCAGTTCCAGATAAGTTGGAAAAGAGAGACCCTTACCTATTAAATCTTGCCCCTTTCCTAGATTTGGGTGTCAGTGCCTTCCAGAACCCTTCCTAGACATTTGTTTATACTTATTCATATATAATTATTTTCTTTTACATAAATGGATGTGTGCATACTTTGAATCTGACCTATAGTTTCTTTTTACCTTAATACTGTCTCAAAGATTTCTCTGTATCACTATTATAGATAAACCTCAAATTTTTCGAAGTTATGCTTATACAATCAAACTGAATTAACTTTACCAGTAATTTAGAAATGGCTGTATGAAGATCTTGGTGCCTGTTAAAAACAGGAAGATGTCATGTCCCCCCACATTAAGGCTGGACAGTGGATTTAGGATGTTTTGTGGCAGGCTGGCTTGCACCTGGCAAAATATCTTGGGTCAGTCTGACAAGGGAGAACTGATCTCTTGTCCTGAGGGTTTATTACTATGACATAGTTCTACTTAAAAAAAAACCATTTAGTCTATTTTGTGCCAGGATCATATTATTAAAGTGAGAATGTAGGACTTGCATCTTTCTCCAAAGCTTCTTTCGTAATTTTAGAAATGTAAGAGAGGTTGGTTAATTTTTAACCCAAAAGGCAAGATAACTTTGCATTTTAGTGATGAGAAGCCAGGAGACAGATAATTGTTTTGTTACATTCATAGGCTGATGACATCATGGGAAGCATTTGATGACAAATGACTAAAATTGTATTGTACATTTGAACTGACCACACCCCAGCAGACCCACCGGCTGGACTTGGTGTTTTTGGTTACTGCCTGAAATGTACCAGCAATTGTCCCAGGAGCAGCAATTGCTGTTGGAATGCTGTCATCATGACCTCAGTGCATGTTGTTTAGACAAAAGGCGAAGATGCCATCTTGGCTTGACAGTGTGCCAGCCACCTGCTGTCATTCTTTTCCATCAGTGCTCTGAAGGTGTCCAGAACCTGGTCGCCAGGTCTCCTTTAAAACTAACAAAACACAGACACGCACAAAAGCTGCAGCATAGAAGGATGATGTAATTGTGAAGGAGATATGGCAACATGTTCCTATTTTCCTTGTCTTTTCCGCTTTTGAAGGCATCAGGTGTCTCATATTTCACATTGCTAGTTGCTACCCTAAAATTAAAGAGGGAAATTCTTGAGGAGAGATGGACTTACGTGATCAATTACTTAAATATTTTATTAGAACTGACTGCTATCAAATAAGCATTAGAAAGACTTTCACATTTCTTGAAGACGTGGGACCATTCCCTGCTTTATAAAGAAATCATAATCCCTAGGCATGGCAGTATATACACAGGGGACTATTTTAATCTGGCTTTCAAGGAAACTGGGGTTTGTGGGCTACAAAGAGGCTGAAAACATGGTGTATCTTCTGTTGGATGTGAAAGTGCTATTTATAGTTTGATAGTGCCAACTCTTTGACAGTGGGCAAGGGACATGCTCACACAATGGTTAATATGGGTTCTTCAGACACTAGACTGAAATTGTTCAGCCTTCCATTTATTAAGCATTGACTAATTTGATCACATGGGGAATGAGCCAGGGAGTCAGCTTTGTTTCCCTGTATCCATCTTGGTCATGAGACCTTGCTGCATTCAGAGGCTTTACCTGCCTGTGGAGGTCACACTTCTAGGACAGGAGTCTCACCTGCTGTAGGGAGATGGCAGAGTCATCCTGGGGCACCGTAGGAAACCCTGTGTTGAATCTTCACTCTGGCACGTAATGGTAGTATGACCTGGAACATGAGCCCTTCGGAGCTTGCTTTCACATCTGCAAAATGGGTGTCACAATATATCATACAGTTGTTATGGGCATTAAAAAGGCACCAAGAGTGAGTGCCCAGCTCATGTTATAGACTACAGAAAGGCTCAGGAAATGGACTTGTTATGTTAAAATTTTTTTTTTGTATTCCTTTGTCATGAAATGAGATGGCCCCGTCACCAGACATCTGGTGCTTGCTTGTCAACACTGTTCATCATGGATCACTTTCCATTGCTGACAGCCAACGACGGGAAAGTTTACTTCCCCTAAAATTACCCTTCTGGAATTGCATCCCTTCCTCCCCCACAGTGGCTGCTGCAGTACAGTAAACCCAGGATCTGGTCAAGGGCAGAACTAATCTTAACCACAGCGTGCAGGAGTCTGGGGGCTGGGAGAAACCAACAATATACAGTTACAGCAAGTTGCAAGTATGAAATCTCAAATTACTTTGGCACAAGTTTTAAATTTTAAAGTGTCTTCCAGGTGCTTCCTCTTGAACACAAAAATTTAAAAGCCCACGCAAAGGGACACTTTATGTTTTAAAAAGCCATTTTGAAATGGGTAAACAGAAACATTTCCCAGTAGGGACATCCATCGTTGTAGTTGTGCGTTGCACATTCTCTGCCATGAATTGTAGTAGGGGGCTCGATTTGTGCGGTAATCATTGTCAGCCCTTGGTTGACTCATGCATTCCTGCCTGTCGCAGTGAGATCTGTGTTTATGTGAAATATGGAAACGATTTTCCCCCCTCTTTCTTTTGTGCTTGAGTTTGGACAGAGCAGCTGAGTTCTTTTTCTTTGTTATTTTTAGGGGGTCTCTGGTTTAGCCTTGAGCAGGGCCGGCTGGCAGCGTGGCTCCGGCTGGCCTTGGTGCGGCCTGGCTCATGTGTCTGCAGTTAGAACCTGACTCTGCCGAATCCAGCTCCCCACACTGAGACGGGAGGCTCTCACTTCCACAACTCTTCCACAACTTTTAGTTAACCCCGAAATAGAAAACAGAATGGAAACTCAAATAATGGTAGAGGAATTTGCACTGAAAAAAGAATTTTTTACTCTGAATTGTCTCTTTTATCGGGAGCCCATATGTCTTGTGTCCTGGCCTCTGCCTTTTATGCTTTTTGTTTTTCTCCAACTGACCCCTCTGTTGGGGTACCCTGAGGACCGGGAGGTGTAGGTTGTGTCGTCAAAGGCCCAGAGTTCAGCTACAGGAAGAGAAAAGCCAGAAGAGAGTGTATGTTATGCCTCCCTCCCTTTTAAACAATTTATCTTCCTAGAAAAGAAAGTTTTAATATGTAGGATTCAGGAAATGTTGTTTGTGAAAATGATCACAGGCTCTAAAGGAGAGTATAAGCTGCTTTCATTGTGTCCAACATGACATTCTCATTATATCTTTAGCAGTCCTTTTGGTGTCTTGGCGGATAGAGTTTCTTCCTTCACAGTATAATGTTTTTCCAACTGCAGAGTTATAGCTGCTTCATGTGCCGTGATACATGGCAAGGTGTCAAGATGATTTTATAGGGGGAAGAAGCCAAAAGGACTTTTAAAACATGCAGCTTTCAGGGGGAAAAAAAGAGAGTTATTTTTGCAAAGGGAGTTTTAAATAAAAGGGCATTCGTGAGTTTGTGCTTTCTTCCTGGGTAGATCTTTTCAAAGATGGCATTGCAAAAAGAGCACGTGCATGTCATTCCTTCATGAACTGAGTCCCTCAAGGGGCAGTTGCCTTGAAGGGCCTGGTGCTGCAGCTCCGGGGATGGCCGTCACAGCTCTGGATCTTCGGGAGCTGCACTTTGCTAGGGAGTCAGACACGTGGATCAACAATGCACGGTCCGGTGTGGCGGAGGAGACATGAAATATTTTGCTGGGCAGGAAGCTGGTGTGTGGCTGCTGTCCAGAGAAGGCTTCATACGGGAAGAGAAGCTTCAGGGGAGCCTTGGAGGATCAGGAGGAGTTTGCCAGGTTACATAGGAGTGTGGGTGGCACCGCAGGCAGAAGAGCAGATGCAAATTCCTGGAAGTGTGCAGCAGCAAAGGTGTGTTAGGTGAGAAATCCTGACTCTTAGGCTGGAGTGTAGGATGCCAGAGTAGGAGAGGAAGGAGAGGAGCTTGGCCAGCAAGCCTACAGCCAGCGCTGGGAGGCCTTTGCCTGTCATGTGGTCATGTCATTTCCTTCAGGACTGTGCTCCCCTTCCTTGAGAGGCCTTGGACTAGTGCCTGCTCTGCTTCCTTTGCTTGCCTTAGCCTTGCTCGTTGCGATTACCACCTGGCCTGTTATAGGTTTGTGTGCTTGTTGCCTGTCTTCTGTTGTTGGGACAGGAGCCCCATGAGAGCAAGGACGTTATTCTATCAAGACTTGGCTAGTGCCTGGAGCTCAGTGGTGTCTGGGAGTCTGTCTGGGCTCATCCTTGGAATGAATGGTTGGAGAACCATTGAAGGGTCTAAACTGGGGGAGTCATGTGAGTATATTTGGGGTTTAGGAAGAGCAGTGAGAATGACAGAAGAGCCGCTGACAAGCTTTAGGAAGAGAAGGAAGTGTCTTAGTGATCTTGCTCTTCTGGCCACCTTGGATTGACCCAGGATTTGCTGACCTGGTAATTTGTCAATAGGTAGTACCAATACCATTCTATTAGTGGTATTTTAAAACTGTACTAAAAATTACAGAGAAGCTCTGAGAATTTTTTTTCCACTCTGCAAAACTAATAGCTTCCTAGGTATTCCAAAGAAATCACAATATTATAATCACTTTTGATGGTTCAGTGATTGGAAAATTTTAAGGAATTGCTTTTCTTTGAAATACAATGAATGCTTTGAAATAAAGTGGGTTCTTTATGTAAAAATTTGCTTCGTTAGGCCCTTAAATTGGCCTCAAGAAAGCTGACCTCATAGCCATGTGCATCTTGTAGCTGGGTTGTTTGCAAAGTTAAAAAAGATAAGAAAATGGGTATTCTGCAGTTCTTCTGAGAGAATTGATATGGTGTATCATTCTGTTTACTGGGCTTGGTGAGGGAAATAACTGTTACATGTGCATGAATTTTCCTGAAAATGGAACCTCATCACTTTAAGACCTAGATAATTTTGATTTTTCTCTTTCATTTTGGATAGAAATTTTTCTAAAACAAAATTTTAAACTTTTTGTGCTCACAGAATGCATTTGACATCAGTTAACAATTTCTTTGCTCCTTGTTTATGAAAGAATGAATTATTCACAATTACTAAAGTGTGTGATAGCCATAACGATAGGACCTACTGAATCTTGTGTGACTATTGGCCGAGTGACCCCAGAATGCCATGTTTTCTAAGTTACTATCCTTGGTTTTTAGGTAGCTGATGTTCTAGCAGCATACGCTCCTGTGTCTCTTAAATTTGCTCAAATTTGTTTCTCTTGAAGGCTGGAAAGCAAAATAACTTATTTGCTTAATAAAATAGAAACAAATAGGCTCAGGGTGAGAGTCTGAGAAGTCCTAGTTTTAAGTCAAGTGAATGTACTTTACTGCATTGTTTCTGTCTTATTTTTAACATTTCAAAGAAGAAGGGCTCATTTTACATTTTTTGAGTCTTTCTAACGTTGAATCATCCATATATGAAAAGAAAAAGACTACAATATCATTACTTCTACTGACACTGCTGCTGTGTTTGCAGAGTAAAAACTACTCCCTAAGCCTTCTTATTCTTTTGTGTTTGCCCAGAGGCTTCTTGGCTCACCCTTCTGGTTCCAAGGTGTGTGAGGTGAGGTCGCTGCAGGTGCTGCTGTACTAAAGGTCTTTTTCATCATCTTTGACAATGATGATTATTTATTGGTCTTCTACCATGTTTAAAGCACTGCTAACAGCACAGGGAAATTATTTCTTTCTGGAAATTTAAAGAGTCCTCCTTTCCCCAGAAGGTTGACATTTGACCAAGCATTCGGCTTCGCAGGTGACTTGGATGGAGCTGAGAGGAAGGAAGAGGCCCCAGGAAATGCACATGAGCTGAATCAGTGCTGTCCATCAGCAGGGTGGCCTGGCCAGATCACCACGCCTGAGTTGAGGCTGGCCTCTGCATGCTGGGTGGGGTGGGCAGCAGAGGCTGCAGGAGTTGGGGGGAGGTAAACACATCCACTTGGGGAGGGTGGCTTGAAAACTCCAGGGATGGGGGAAGATTGTCGCTGGATCTCGTCTAACGAGTACAGTGCTGAATTGGAGAAGGGGAGGGAGGGCTGGCCAAGGGGAGAAGGGTGGCCAGGAGGGGCAGGATGGAAAGGGCCAGGTGTGCTGCAACTCTGAGTGCTGCTTCTCAGGAAAGCTCGGGAAGTCGCCTGGTTTCTCTGTGACTCCCAGAGGAAAGACAATGGGTTCTGGAGTTGGATGAACCTGGACCTCAAGACCAGTTCTACCGCTTTCTAGTTGTGTTATCTTCAGCAATTTTCTTAGTCCCTCTACATCAATTTCCTCAGGTGTAAGAGGGAGATAATAAGCCCGATCCAGTACACTCTGCGGAAGAATAAATGAGACTGAGTTAACCATGTGCTGTATAAACATTGCACATGGTAATTTCCTTGGCCAGCCTTTTCTCAGGGCCCTGGTCCGGAGCCTCCCGGGGCCCACAGGCCCTGCCCACTTTCTGACTCACTCATAGCCACTGTCAACTCAGCAGGTGCAAGAGGACAGGCATTGCTTCATCTTCTTCCTCCACTTCTCCCCTCCCTTTCATGTCACCACTTTCTGTCTGGTGTAGAGTTTGAATTTGGTTCAAAACCTTGGTTATTTCTTTCAAAAATACCGTGTTTCCTCGAAAATAAGACCTACCCATAAAATAAGCCCTAGCAGGATTTCTAAGCATTTGCACAATTTAAGCCCTACCCCAAAAATAAGACCTAGTGATGGGTGTGGCTATGCAGCGTATCTGCACAACCCATGCATTTCGTTTCAAAGAAGATGAGCAGCCCTTCTCATCTGCCCCATCGTGACAGCTACTATCCCAGAGGTGACCAGAAAGGTGCGGGCAATCCCACCAACAAGGTTGGCTCTCCCTCATGTCCCAGCCATCCTGTGCGTGCTGCAAGCTGAGGCTTTGAGGGGAAAATAACACATCCTCTGAAAATAAGCCCTAGGTTGTCTTCTTGAGGAAAAATAAATATAAGACCCTATCTTATTTTCGGGGAAACATGGTACCTACGTACCTAAGTATTTCTTTCAAAGTACCTAATTGGTTGTTTGGAAGTTACATCAGAAGAAAGGGAGCTCCTTATTGTAGGGTATGAACTGGATTGCAGGCAGTTAGCAGGAAACCCTGAGACTTATAAAATATAGTAACTTGCTCAAAGTTGCACAGCTAATAAGTGGTCAAACAGGAACATGTATCTAGTTCTTCTTGTACTGAAGAGGTTAGACAAGTGCCAGAAAGCACATACAAGTTGAAATAGGCCTAAAAGAGAATGGACAAAAATCCTACACACTTTTGCCTTTTTGAAATGTATTCTTAATGATAGTTCTAAAAATGGTCACGCCTTATAAGCCTTATACAATTAAAATGTTGACATCCTTGAACTCATCCATTCAATAAACAATTCTTGAATACCTCCTCTGTCCCAAGAACTGTCCTAGCTGTTGGGGATATGATGGTAACCAAAATAGTCCTGGTTTTTGTTTGCATGGAGCTCTTGTTCTTTCAAACCCTCTTTGGTCAATTTCTGCCTTTCATGTGGTGTTCTAGTCTGTCATCTAAGCCTGTCATTTCTTTCTTTTGTGATGCCACAGTCCACATCTGTGTCAGAGCACGTCACTTCACATGGGGGTTGCCCAGCAGTCTTTGTGAGGACACCTCTGGCTTAAGCCAGTCCCGTTCATTTTGCACTTTTTCAGACACTGCTGAACTCTATCTCCCCGTTGTCCTTTGCTTTGGCTGTATTTTTCCCATCTGACTTTGTTTTCCATTTGCTGCAAGAACAATTCTAGCTAATATTCACTTGGGCTTATTGTGTGCCAGGTATGTTTTAAGGATTTTATGTCACCCCATTTTTTTTTTTAATAACCTGATGAGGTAGGTCTGATCATTATTGCCATTTTGTAATGGATGGGACTGAGGCACAGGGAAATTTGGTGACGGTCTAAGTTGCACAGCTAGTCAGTGTTTGAGTCCAGGGAACCTGGCTGCAGACTCCGCACTTTTAACAGCTGCTCTGTCTTCACTGTCTTCCGCTCATGCATAGAAGCTCCTAGAGAGCAGGGGCTCTGTCATTCATCTCTGCTCACTGTACTCTGTGCCATCTTGACATACAGTAGATGCTCACTAAATGCGTACAGTGCTTCCTCATTCCCACTTCTGTGCCTCATTCATGCCACTCTCCAGCATGGCGGTGGGAGGTGAGGAAGAGGTCTGTGCTCTGGCTGTGAACTCATACAGGTTGGGGTTCCAATTCCAGACACTTACCAGCTACCAATGACCTTGTCTAGGTCACTTCTCTTAAGCCACAGTTTTCTCCTGAAAAACAGGTACAATCATAGTGCCCGCATCCTAGAGTTTACATGAAGAATAAATGAAATAATGGGAGTCAGACACTTTAGACCTGTGCCTGACACCTAGAAAATGGCCAGTTAACAAAAGTTCTTCTCAGTAGTTGTGCCTTGTTGCCTCTCCTGCCTCCTTTATCTAACTATTATCCATTTTTAGGCCTATTTCAGCTTGTAGTAGCTCTCTAGGACTTGTCTAACTTACTGAGCTCATAAAGAATTAGATATTTGTTCCTTTTTGACAATTTATTAGCTGTATGACCATGTATTAGCTAGTTACGAAATTTTGCAGTCTTGCTTATATGTTGTGGATTCAAAAAGGAGTATGTGTATCATGTTAAGCACTCAGTAAATTTTAGTTTTCTTACCTTCCTCTCTCCCTCATCATCTACTTCTTTTCCACTGACCTACAGGCCCTCCATAGAAGCTTGTTGATAGACTCAGGTACCTAACTCAGTTGTTTGGAAGTTACATTGGAAGAAAGGGAGGGAGACTCCTCTTGGGATGGGGTGGGCTGGATCACAGTCAGTTAGCAGGAAACTCCAGGAAGCTATAGAACCTCTGCCCTGCATGCTTTTGCCTTTTTGAAGTGTATTCTTAGTGGTAGGTCTAACCATGGCCAAGCCTTACAAGTTTTATAAAATTAAAACAATGTTGATGTCCTTTGAACCCATCCATTCAACAAATAATTCTTGAATACCTCCTCTGTCCCAAGAAGTGTCCTTGTTGTTAGGGGTGTGACGGTGACAGGAACATGGCTGGTGTCTGTCGTATTGGGAAACAGACACCAGCCATGCCAACAGTCAATTATATGGTGATCTGTGCTGTGACGGGACAGTAAAGGTGCCATGAGTTACAAAATAAGCAGGGCTGGGGGTGGCGTTAGTGTTGAGGGCCTTAGGGACATCCAGTGAAAGGGACATCTGCGCTAGACCTGAGAGCTGAGGGTGTACACCCAGATAAGGAGGCAATGGAATCCCTTCAAATTTAATAATCACCCTTTTTTCTTTTAATGTAATATACTATTTAGTATTTTATTAAGCTTGGATGACGACAGATGATAATTAGTCTTAAAATCTGGAGGCACCCAAATATGCTGTCACTGGCTGTTTGTATCTGACTCCTGTATAAATACACGTGTGTCGGGCCGGGTGAGGGAGGCTGCATTGTGTGAAAGCACAGCCAGCACATTGTGTTTTTTATTACATTCAGGCCCAGTTCTGTCAGCAAAGCCCATCCAGGCACCTTGTCACATTATGGATAGCGTTGTCTGGGCTTGCCTGCCCTGGGCAGGTGCTCTTTATTTTAATTCATATTACGTATATTTACTCTGAAAGTTGTTTTTGTTGAAACTTGAAAATCCAGGTGCTTGCAGCTAGAGTATGGACAGACTTACTGGATATTTGCTGAACAACGTTTGTTAACATGAAGAAGGGACACCGTCCTCAGCCAAGTGTAATGGATATTTAGATAATTGTTGGCCAAAACCTCCAGTATAATTACCACTATGGAACTCATATTTGTTTTTTTTTTAATCTGCTTTTGAAACAGAGTCTCACTCTGTTGCCCTGTGTATAGTACAGTGGCATCAGCGTCGTAGCTCATGGCAGCCTTAAACTCCTGGGTTCAAGTGATCCTCCTGCTTCAGCCTTCAGAATAGCTGGGACTATAGGCAGGTGCCATCATGTCTGCCTAATTTTTTTTTTTGTAGAGACAGGGTCTCACTCTTGCTCAGGATGGTCTCGAACTCCTGGCGTCAAGCAATCCTCCCACCTCGGCCTCCTAGAGTGCTGTGATTACAGGTGTGAGCCACCTCGCCCCACCTTTGGAACTCATTTTCTGACCTTCTCTTTCAGGATTGGTATTTTCTGAAACATTATGGCAGGGTCTCCCAAAGTGAGGACATCTGAAAGGCCGTGGACATGGCAGTGAGTCACTGCCTCACTCATGGTGTTAGCACCTTTCTGTCCAGTCTGTCTGATGAGGTCAAGCAAAGAATGTGTTTGTAGCTACCATTTTCCTGCACCTGTCATTTGCAATGTTTTTTCTAACATGAAGAAGCAGGCCCTGGGAGACAATTATATCTAGCTAACTTTGCTTTCTTTTCATGATATTTATGATACATTCTATTTATGGCAAGTGATACTAATTTATAGCAGTGACTGAAAGATTCTTTAAAAAATTAATGAATTGATATTTAATAATTAAGCAAATAATGGTAGAAATGACACTAAGATTTGGCAAATTCATGACAGTACTTGAATGATTGAAGCTGAGGAATACTGCCTTGGTGTAATTGGATTTTTTTTTCTCCTGCTGTCTGGCATTTAGTCTCTGTGTCTGAGGGACTATTTAAAATTTGGGTGTTAAAATCTGATAACACAATAAGATACTTACTACTTCACACCCACTGATATGGCTAATAATGAGTGTTGGTGAAGATGTGGAAAAATTGGAACCTTCATAAATTGCTGGCAGGAAGGTGAAAGGGAAAGTACAACTTCTTTGGAAAATAGTCGGATGGTTCTTCAACAGTAAAACAGAGTTGCCACGTGACCCAGTCATTCCATTACAAGTATATACCCAAGAGAATTGAAAACGTATATTCTCATAAAAACTGGTACATGAATGTTCATAGCAGCATCATTCACAGCAGCCAAAAAGTGGAAATAACCCAAGTGTCCATCAGCTGATGAATGGATAAAAATGTGTATCTATACAACGGAATGCTAGCCATGAAAGGACTGAGGTACTGATGCATGCTGTAGCATAGATATACCTTGAAAATATGACATGTGAAATAAGTTAGACACACAGTCATATATTATATGATTCTGTTTACATGAAATGTCCAGAATAGGCAAATCCATAGAGATAGAAAGTAGATAGTGATTGCAGGGATGAGGAAGAGGGCATACAGAATGACAGCTAATGGGTAGGGTGTTTCTTTTTAGGGTGGTAGCAATGTTCTCAAATTACAGTTGATCTTCCAACAACATGGGTTTGAACTAGATGGGTCCGAACACATATTTTTTTCAATAAATGTGTTAGAAAATTTTTTAGAGATTTGTGACAATTTGAAAAAACTGAAAGATGAACCCTGTAGCCTAGACTATTGAAAAAATTAAGAAAAAGCTATATATGTCATGATTGCATAAAATATATGTAGATACTAGTCTATTTTTATGTTAATAATCTGTTTATGTTATCTCTAAGGCTTTTGGTCGACAGTAGACTATTAGTTAAGTTTTGGGGGAGTCAAAGTTATATGTGGATTTTCAACCTCATGAGAGGCCGGCACTCCTAACCCTCTTATGTTCAAGGGTCAACTGAAGATAGTGGTGATTGTTGCACAACTTTGATAATATACTAAAAAACACTGAATTGTACACTTTAAAAGGGTGAATTTTATGGTATGTGAATTATGTCTTAATAAGAAAGATCTGGTAGTAAAAATCACGTGGCTGGTGATAGAAGGCTTTTCATGGAGCCATTGCTACCATTGCCAATGGGATGGGACTTATGTCATTGTCTCTGTGTTCTTAGGGTGGTGATTTTCCAGTGGTACTAGTGTGGCCTTTGGAGCCAGAATCTTAACATAGACTGACATGGGCGAGTTTTAACCTGCTGGGCAAAAGCATGACATTATGTTTTTTTCTTCATAGTAGCATGCTGAGATCTGTGGATTACTCATCTATTTATTATTAATCTATATAATGGGGGAGGAAAGACTTAAAGAAGATGGGTGGTAGAGTGGGCCTAGAATCCTGGTCTTTATACTATATTTTCTGCTATTAATACAGCTTGTAAACAAATCGTCACATCCCTGAGAGGTAGCTGGTCAGCGTTGCAAAATGTGGTTGAAGGTGGGGAAAGTTCACTCTTGCCAGATTGATTCACTTATTAAAGAATTTATTCTAATGAACCTTTTCATTGATGCTACTATAAATACTGACTCAAGATGTCTTTATGAAGCACTCTCAAACACAGTGCTTGTTATCTTAGTTTAAACCTGAGGAAACTGAGTGAAGTCTAGAGAGTAAGTAACTGTAGACACTCAGGAAATCAAGAAGTCAAGCTGGCTTCTCAACCCAGGCTGTCTGACTCTGTGTCCATTCTGTTTTTATTTTTCCATCACACCCTCCTTTTGTTTTGGTATATGCGGTATATACTTCATTCATTCAGTAGTTGCTTATTG